TTATTATTATTTTCGCAGAAATCTGAACAAGAAAACTGCCACAATCAGTTTTTCATATTATGGTTCTGAATACAAAGATTCATTCTTTTCTGATGACCAAAGCTACAAAGAGCTATTGTGGAAGAATCAAAGAGTAGCTCCAGAGTAGCAGGATGCAGACCCCTGAAGMAACAAGGACGTGAACTCCTGGACTGCTACTTTATTTAGCTTAGCAGACATCGTAAAGTTGAAATACACAGCTTAAATGATTGGGTTCAAATAAAGTAAAACATTGTCTAAATAACATATTTATTGTTGGAGCAGTAAAAAACATTGATGGAAAAGAAGAGGTCTAAAGGGCCTTTAGGAATGTATTTACCTTGAGGCWCCTTGGCCGATAAATCCTGCCACCATATGTGTGTGTGTGTGCCATCATCAACATGGGCTGTTAGGCCATTCATCAAGGGTGCTGCTCTCGATRGGAGCAGCCTGGTGTTTAACAGAGTAAATTTATGGTTCAAATCCTCCAATTTAAACTCAACCAGGAGACTGAAGTTGTAGTCCTGATTGAGACGATGGATTTCTCACAGCTCGTCGGCCATCAGCGTGAGAGCATAAATTGCCACCGCAGGCCGTTACTGTGAGTAAAAATGTGYTCTCGGTCAACTTAATCCCTAAATAAACACTTAAGAAAATGCAGCTGAGACACCGCTGCCAGAGCACGGCTTTGCTGTATACACATTAAGCAGCTGACTGATCACTGAGTCAATAAACTGATGCTGTCACGCTGGACTGGATCAAACATGGTGGACAGATGGTGGCGGTGCATACGAATGAGCTGCAGATGTACATTATTTGCAGGCAGGGCCGACRCAGCCATCGTAATCCTTCCCTCAARGAGATGCATGCAAATCTTTTAATGATAATCACAAATGAAAAAAAATATCCTTTTATCAAGTTAAACTGTTGCTGGAAGAGATGTCCAAGCTCATGTGTCCCCTTTGTTTCTCTGTTTAGAGACTTAAAGCTGCAGTACTCCTTAATCAAATTCACAACATGTTTTGTCACAGACACGGGCCATCAGGGATTCACTCCTAACTTCACACTGACAGTGTGAAGTGCACAAAAAACAGGGTTTTGTTGTTGAATTATGTGGAATAAAGTTGATGTAGCTAATAACGACTCAAGCATACTGATTAAAGATTCCGATTCGAGCAGCCTTACATGACTTGTGATTTAGACTTTTCAGAAAAATACTGCCTTCCTGCCTTCAKATTAAAAGATTGAAGAAAAAAGATGAAGAAAAAAGGACTACGGCAACGCTACAAAGCTGCTTGCAGAGCTATTGTTTTGTATTGCATCAGACTCTCAGGTTTAGTCCCTTCAGACACTCTTTTCATTTTTGCACATTATTTTGAAGATTTAAGTCTAAATGGATTTTCATGCTTATTTTCCATTTCTTTTTTGTTTCACAAAAAGCAAATGGAAACTACGTTTCTTATATATTCTTTTCACAATCCCAAACAAAAATACATCTTCCTATAGAACATTTTTTTTGTCTGATTTCAATTTTGAATCTATTAATAGTCAGTTACAAGCAGATCTTCTTCAAGACATTTCATGGTTGGCTTCAAGATAATCTTTTGTCAATTAATGTTAAAAAAATCTGTGTGCATGTATTT